CACACACACACACACACACACACACACACACACACACACACACACACACACACACACACACACACACACACACACACGCCTCCTTCATTCCTTCCCCTTCCCCCTCTCCCTAACTCACTCAATGATTGACGCAGTTCAGAAACAACGTTGTACCTTCTCGCTTTCCTCTAGTGGATAGAAGTTATGTATAAACAGCAGACTCGACCACCAGTAGCTCTTGCAGTCGTTGGGTGCAGTGCCCTCTAGCGTGTAAATCGGTGCATTGAGACGACGTGAGATCACAGAGCTGAAGATCAGCATTGAGTAGCCAAATATCGGCACGATCCTGCGACAACAACACCATATATATATATATGATAATATATTATAAAGAGAGAGATATATATAATAGATAGATAGACTACGATAGATAATATTGTGTTGAGTGCTGGGTGGTGGGGTGTGTGTGATATATATATTATACACGCGAAAGAGAGAGAAAGGAGAGAGAAAGAAAAATAGAGAGAAAGAGTAGAGAACGAGGAAAGAGAGAGAGGGGAGCTGAAGAAGGGAGAAGAGAGAGAGAGAGAGAGAGAGAGAGAATAGAAGAGCGAGGAATTAGCCGAGTGAATGAATGATAATAAATATTGCTCGTCGTCCGTGCAGCATAATTGCTCGTACGGCGCTAGCCGGCTCGGACTGCGATGAACCCCGCCAATCGACAGATCCTCGTCATCCACATCATCAGCCTCAGCATCATCATCATCCTCATCATCCTCAGCATCCTCATCATCCTCATCATCAGCCTCAGCATCCTCATCATCCTCGTCATCCTCAGCATCATCAGCATCAGCCTCATCATCCTCATCATCATCATCATCATCATCAGCATCAGCATCATCATCCTCATCATCATCATCATCATCATCAGCCTCATCATCATCATCAGCCTCATCATCATCATCATCAGCCTCAGCATCATCATCATCCTCATCATCCTCATCATCTTCGTCATCATCAACCTCTCAGCTGTTTCATGGGATGCCGTAATTCGACGTGAGCGTGATATCCCGGAGACTCGTTACCGTGATGTGGGTCAAACACCAACCTGGGAAGAGGAGGGGGAGAGGCAGGGGAGAAGCAGGGGGAAAGGAAGAGGAGAGGCAGGGGAGAAGCAGGGGGAAGAGAGGGAAAGGAAGGTGGGGAGACAGTGTGAGAGGCAGGGGAGAGGAGGGAGAAAGGCAGGGGAGGGGCATAGGAAAGGCAGGGGACGGGAGGGAGTAAGGCAGGGGAGGGGCAGAGGAAAGGCAGGGGAGGGGAGGGAGAAAAGCAGGAGAGGGAAGGGAGAAACAAGAGAGGGGAGGGAGAAAGGCAGGGAGAGAGGGAGAGGAGGGGAGGGAGAGAGGCAGGGGAGGGGAGGGAGAGTGGCAGGGAGAGGAGGAAGAGAGGAGGGAGAGAGGCAGGGAGAGGAGGAAGAAAGGCAGGGAGAGGAGGAAGAGAGGAGGAATGGAGAGGAGGAAGAAGCAGGGTTATGCAGTGGAGAGGCAGGAGGAAAGGCAGGGAGAGAAGCAGGGGAGAGGCAAGGGGGAGAGAAGGGAGAGGGAAGAGTAGATTACGTACCTAACCATTCTGTCGAAGTAGTAGTGTATCCAGAAACTGACGGTGCGGCCCTCTCCATTCTCCAGCTTCTTGATCGTCCAGTACATCACCTTAAGATACGCCAGGAGAATGCGAGAGAAACATTAATGAAAGGAAGTGAACAGGGAAGACGAAAATAAAGAAAGAAAAGAAGGAGAAGGAGGAGGAGAAGGAAATGAGGAGGAAGGGAGGAGGAGGAGGAGGAGGAGGAGAGAGGAGAGGAGGAGGAGAGGCCGGTAGGAGGCCAGAGGAAGCGGAGGAGGAAGGAGGAGAGGAAGAGGAGGAGGAGGAGGAGGAAGGAGAGGAGGACGGAAGGAGAAGGAGAGAGGAGGAGGAGGAGAGAGGAGGAAGTGATGATGTGATGGAGGAGGCAGGATGACATTATGAATGAATGAGTGATGACGTAGATGAAGAACCGAGGGTGAGAGGAACGAGGAGAAGAGAAGCAAGCAATATGATAAGAAAAACGAATAAAAATGAGCAAAAGAAAAGAAGACCCGCACAATGAGATGAATGCAGAATGAGAAAAATAAACACGAAAGCACAAACACACGAACACACCAAACACGCACAAACACCAGCCAGACCACAAACCACACAACCCAGCAACAGACACAAACACACAACCACACAACCACACGAGACGAACACACAAACATATCACAAACACCCAAACACACAACCACACAAACACACAAACACAAACACACAACACCACAAACAAGACACCAAACACCATACGAACACAACCCACACAAACACACAACACACATACACACAACTCACCACGAACACACCAAACACACAAAACAACAACACCAACCACACAGAACACAACACACAAACACAACCAAACACAGACACACAAACACACTCAACTGACCAGACAACACACAAAAACAAACACAACCACACAAAACAAACACACAAATCAACCAACACACAACACCACAAACACAACAACCACACAGACACACAAACACACCACACGAACACACTCACACACACCAACACACAAACACACAAACACAACCACACAAACACAAACACACAAACACAACCACACAGACACACAAACACAACCACACGAACAATGTGGATTGCAAACACAAACACACAACCAACCCCGCGACAGCAACCCCGCGAACACAACCCCGCAAAACACAAACACGGAAACACAACCACACAGACACACAAACACAACCACACGAACACACAAACACACAAACACAACCCCGCGAACACAACCCCGCAAAACACAAATACGGAAACAGGTAAAAACGCTTCGATATTCGTCCTTCTTGAGCTATACGTCACTATAGTCACTATACGAGCAGTCACTCACTATGGTCACTATACGAGCAGTCACTCACTATAATCACTAGTCTATACGAGCAGTCACTCACTATGGTTCACGCTGCGTGGTAACTATGTCGCCAGGGGTTGCATAATGCTAATAACTAATGATAATAACGCTCATGTTCGTACGATCGTCCGTGTGGCCGCTGGCTGGGGCGAGAGCAAGCGAATGATTAATTTGTGTTCATCCGTCGCGCGTCCGATGTGCTAATGCAGCTGAATGGCAAATAGGATCTAGTAGAAGAGAGGGAGAAAGAGGGGAAGGGAGAGAGGGAAGGGGGGAGAGGGAGAGAGAGACAGAGAGAGAGAGAGAAGAGAGAGAGACGAGAGAAAGAGAGTGAGAGAGATAGAGAGCCGACGAGAGAGAGAGACAGCGAGAGATGCAGAGAGCGAGAGAAGAAGCAGAGAAGAGAGAAGAGAGAGAGAGAAAGAGAGAGAAACGAATACGATAGACGAATGAGAGAGAAGAGAGAAGAGAGAGAGAGAGAGAAGAGAAGAGAACGAAGCAGAGAGAGAAGAGGAGACGTTTTGCGTCACGCGCGTTTGATGTCAACTTCGCGTGCGTCCTTGCTTCGCATCATTCACGTCGACATTTCTCGTCATCGTTGCCTGTCGTGCGATCGCGCTGCGTCGCGGATCGTCA